TACTTGTCTGGCAGTAAGCTAGTTGCTACAAAAATGAAAACATCTTGGGAGTTTGTGTTTCTTGGGGAAGGTAGACATTAAGGCAGTACTTTGAAGTTTTTGAACCTGCAGGTGACTGGTCCTTGCCCCCTACCTCCCACCATGGGTGGCTCCAGTCCTGTCCTTCTGTGGTGGTCTCCAGGCACAGCAGCCCCACATCATCCCTCCTCCCTCTCTCATAGCACTCAGCATGCCATGGAAACAACTGGTTGGTTTTCTTTCTCATGGACTGAGCCCCGGCCCCTGTTCCAGGTACCTGATAGGCACTCAGTTAATGTTGGCTGAATGAGCGGGTGAAGGGAGAGCTTGGATGGTAGCTGGAAGAATTTCCCTCAGATTCTGTAGTGGATGCTTTTCTTTACCTGGGGCCAGGTTGCAGATGTTACTAAAAATACCTCAGGCTGTAGCTGCAGCACCTGGAGGTTGTCCTTTGCTTCTAGATAGCAGCAGTTTGGCTTGTCACCTGCTGTCAGGCCTGCAGAGTGAGTTTCTACGTCTGATCTGGAAACCACTAATGTCTGATGTGGACATACCTCATTGGATGCCAGTGCTGATGCGATTCCCACAGTCATACCAGGGTGTCCTTCCCTCCTGGGAATCCTTTTCAGGGGTCAGCCTGGACACTTATGACCCACACCTGCATCTAGTTTGTTTTCTTACAGCTGGGTTCATGGTTTTGGGTTCTCCTGTATCGTGGTTGATTTTTAAAATAAATTTTTATTAGGATATGTTCATTATACAGGAGGGATTCATAGGGCCAATTCCTATTAGACTTACACTGTACATTATTTATATCGTCCCCATCATCTCTCCCTCAGCCCCCTCCCTGCCCCACTTAAAGCATTTGCAAGAGGTTTCTTAAGTTTTGTTTCATACAGGTGTATGAAGCCGTCTTCCGTGTATCGTCACCTTAATCTCCTTCCTTCACCCTCCCTCCTCCCACTAATACCCCCCTCCACCACTGTACCTATTTTACAGTCCTGGTTTTTGTTATTAATATTTAAGTTGATGTTCACAGGGTATTTTTTTTTTAATGTACTCATGTTGCAGAGTGAAATTCACTTCTCATGTCTACAGTTGTATGGCATTAGGATTAGTTCAGTGCATAGAATCATGACTCTGTTACCACAGTCCTGAGATGGGACAGTTGCATCCACCCAGATTCTCTGCTGCTGCCCCTTTTGTAATCAGGGACTTACTCCAAGCCTTGCAAACCCCAGATTTGTTTCTGTCCTTGTAATTTACCTTTTCCTGTTCTTACATAAATGAAATCATGCAGTATTTGGCCTTTGGAGTCTGGTTTCTTTCACTTAGTAATATGCATTTAATATTCATACACATTGTATGAATCTATAGTTTGCTTCTTTTCATTACTGAGTAGTATTCCATTGTGTGGCTAACCATAGGCTGTCTGTTCACCAGATGAAATATATTGTTGCAATATTTGGTGATTGTGAATAAAGTCTCTATAAACACTCACATGCAGACTTTTGTGTGAATCTGTTTTTGTTCCTTTGGGTGTATACAGGAATGGGACTGCAGGGTCACTTGATCTTTAACTTTTACCAGGACCCACCAAACTGTTTCCTAAAGTAGCTACCCCGTTTTGGATGCCCATCCACATTTATGAAAGTTTTGTAGTTGCTCTATACCCTTGTCAGCACTTGCTATTGCCTTTTAGAAACATTAACTATTCTAACTCATGTGCCATTTAGTTTTTGATTTGCAATTTTCTTATACCCTCTCAGATGCTGGCAGAGTTTAAGTGTCATTTTTTGATGTAATTTGGCAAGGACATCATCCATACCTATGTAAGACTTGACTCCCTGAGCTGGAGCTTACAGGATCTCAGAGTGAAAGAGCAACAGGGTTGTCAGTCCTTCCTAAGACTCACACTGCATCATTTTCTAAGCTTAAAATATAAAAATATTTCTTACTGATTGGGTTATTTTTATGTTAAAACTGCTATAATAGCTTGATCACTCATGTGAGCCAGAGCTTCTATTGCTGTAGAAATTTCCTTGCTCTGTTCTTATTGCGGCCTTTCACATGATACTCAGACATAATTTTTGTAAAGGTCTTCATTGTATTGGTGGTCATAATGCCTTTCCCTCTATTTCTCTTTCTAGGCTCCTAATCGCCAGCTCATGACTTACTGGTTACAGGAGCTTCAGCAGAAAAGATGGGAGTACTGCAATAACCTCGACATGGTGAAGTGGGACAGCAGGACTTCCCCAACTCCTGGAGATCTTCCTAAGGGTCTTGTAGCCAGAGATAACTCAGGTAAGGCACACACGGAGGGGCCTGTGTCTGCTCTTGGTGTACAAACCCTTGACGTATGTCAGGTTAGCAGTGTATGAAAATAATGAGGATCCATTATTCATGGTAGCATTCCACAGTTTCTCAGTGCCTCCGAATACATGCAGGGCCAGTGGCAAGCGTATCGGAGATGATGAGGCCCATGGGTGTATATAGCTGAAGTTACAACACTGCAATGTAAACCTTTAGTTCTGACTCCAGAGCCGGCCTTATTTTACTGCTATGCTTGGGAATGAGGAACGTATCCCTGAGGGTTCATGCCTGGTAGGCGTCCTGGGCTGCTTGGTTTGTATGCGTAAGGAAGGTAGTCTCAAAGCCTCTGCCTGTAATTCTCTAGTATTTTCTCAGGAAAACTTAACCCTCAAACACTGATTTTATTTTGTTCTAGATTCACGGCATTTTCACAGCTTAATACTGTGCTTTTATATTAAATATCAAAAATTAAACCCCATGATCTTCTCATGGCTGGTTGTATCGAGCCCTCTAGAAAGAATGGGACATTTATTTGCTAATCATTTCACATGTGCCTCTCTCCCCATCCACCACAAAGGCTGTGGGGTGGGACTGTTTTTGTGACCCCTCTCGTCACATATGGAGAACAGATCCATAGAAAAAAATGGGCTCCTGAGCTGTGAAGTGAGGCCATTGTACTAGCAATGTGAAGGCCACAAAGGCGTACACATCAAAATGAAGCCAGTAGGGCTTTCCTAGTGCTTTCATGAAGACGTGCAGTTTATAAAGCCAGGGCTTAGAAGAACACTGGGCCATATCTGAGTTTCTGTCACACCAAGGACGGTGTAGCACATGTACAGCTATTTTGTCCCAGAATCAAATGCCTCCTTAGACTTTTTCTTCTCCAAATTTGCCAGCCTTACTTTTACTAGTCACAGCACTTTTCAGCAGGCTGACTGTGAGGAATTACACATATGTTTTGTACCTGTGGATGTGTTATCCTGGGAGTTCTCAGCCATTTCATGGAGGTCTTAGTATTCAGCTG